CTGTAAAGAAGGGACTATATGAAGTGAACAGAAGTTAAAATTAAACAGAGGACATTACTGAGAGAAATGCAAACAGTAAGGATTGAGATGTGAAAGATGGCTTGATGATATTTTCATTTTAATAACTGTAGCTGGTGTTAAATGTAGCAGATAAGGCAAATTGCTTTAAGACTGCATGATTTCTAGGTTATTACTCCCTGTTTTATTTCAGCAGCACTAGTACATTTCCTTTTATCTGTTTTCTGCTCTCTGATCTTGGGTTGCTTTTTATTTTGAGGTTAAATACAGTATACTTAATGCCGTGTAAATCTAATTGATATTGTTCTGGTAATACGTACTTACCTGAATTACTTACCTGAATTAGAGACCTGCTCAGTGAGAAGTCTTTATCCCCTATAAATTTGTGGTAACCTCTAAATAAGCTCTACAGGCACATAAAGAAATTAAATAAGAAGTGACATCAGAGCTATAAAATGTAGATAAATTGCATTACAGTTTGGAGTTTCATGCGATATTCAATAAAAGTGGGAATCTTTTTCATGTACATAATTGATTTTTAAAATTATCAGCTTAGAAATAAACTAAAATGCATACAATCAGCTCTAATATGGCTGCTTGCTAAACATCTTATTTCCTACTATTTGTATGGTGGGAGGAATAAGCGTGAGTTTACAAGTAACTCTTATATAGCTCTCTCAAGGGCAGGTCTGGCTGCAATTTACATATAAAACCCCACTAAAGATTAAGGGATGGGGTGTTTTGAGCCAGACTGGGAGCTGTTTGGAATTTTTTGGGCACATTTTTTCTGTAGACCCTGTGAACTCGTGGTGGGTTTGTGGCACAAAATGGTGAGGGTGTAACTCCTAGCGGAGCTCTGGGTGGCTCAGTTGGGATGGTGGCTATGGGCTGTGGTATTCAGCTCTCCAGGGCTGTTTATAGTAGTTGTGTGTTGGAGCTATTAAACCTCTATTTATAAAAAAAAACAATCTTTTGTTGTGCTTGTGTGCAGAAGAAATGGTAAGGGAAAGGTTTTCTCTCTGGTATTCATCTCATAGTGTTAATAGCATGTGGTGCAGAAATAGGGCTTTCTGAAGGTGGTGATTGTGGATGCTTAGGGAACTCGATCACCAGAATGCACTGAATGGACTGAGCAAACTGGGGAGATCCACTTGGAGGTCAGGGAAGGGATTTTTGTATTTACACTGGCATGGCTGGGAGCAGAATGTGGCCTTTGCACTCCTTGGCTGTGCCTTGGTATGATGGACTCCAATGCAGTGTTAACCCTCTTTGTGTCATTTTTGTGGCTTCTGGCTGAGTTCTGAATTTTGCTGTATTCTTTTAGGAAAAAATGGAACATCCCAGTGTTGTTCTGGGTTATATGCAGTCCTGGATGCTTATTGTGTTTTCAAAGGAATTTCATTTAAATCTGTACGCTCATTTTGCTGTCCATCAGATCCACAAAAAGTCTTGGGTCCTGGGAACACATACCATATAATTGACTTTATCTGCGTGTGCTGTGTGCCAGGGGTGTCAGACAGATGATGTCCAGGACACAGCAGTGTTGAGAGAATGTGAATGTCTGCATCTATTATAAAGAACAAATGTTTCTGATGCTTCCAGATTCTGAAGGTAACACTTGAGGTAAGGCTTAAATGTAATGCAGTTTTAGGTACCAGACCTACCGCTTATGAGCTCTTCTCAGTTGCTTCCTTGAAGTATTAGCTTCTAATACTAACACATTAGAGAAACTGATTTCAGTGACATTTAGTTTGTAGGAGTGTGGCTCTAAGGTGATTTGTGTTTGTTGTTGTTTGTCTGAGTGTGAATCAAGAACTTGTTTGTGCACAGATGATGACAAGAACCAAAAATAACGGCAGTCCCAAAAATACCACATTGCATTTTCCCTGTGCAGTGACATGGGGATGCCATTGCAACTGTATCAGCTAAGTTCCAAAATGGCTGTTTCTGCAGCCTTCTTTTGACTGCCATGAGAGTTTCATCTATCCACAGTTTCTCCATCCTTAATATTCTCCATCCTTCATTCTGTACTCCTGAAATTAAAGCTAGAAAGGAATTGGATGCCCAGCTCTGTTGGGCAGAAGAAGATGATCTGTTCTAAGTAGTTCTTCTTAAGCCAGTTTTCCTTAAACATTTGCACTATGTGTTTATAAATCAATGCTTTATCTTTAAAAAACCATGACTCAAATCCAGATTTGGCTTATATCAAAACAGATTACTTTGAAATACACAGCTGCATGTGTGCGTGTAAAGTATCTAAGTGCTATCAATATTCTCCAGAATAAGAGCTGAGAACATTTAGGGACAAATCCTCCAAAATTTCAGTGGGATGATGGCTCCTAAATAGAGATAGAAAAGCTTTGCACAGCCATCACTGAGCTGGGAGGTGCCCAAGGATTCTGGGCTTTCCTGATGCTCAGGATCCTGTTCTGTGCTCTCATCCAGGCCACTTTGGTCTTGCCTGAGCCTGAGCTGCTCCTCTGTCTCCTTGTCCCCCACGGATCCCACATGCCATTTCTCTCCCCTCCATGGCTCCTCAGGTCAGTGGGGAGGATAACGCACCTCCTCACCCCCTCTGGCTGCTTCTGCCTAGTATATTTTACCAGGAAGGACATTGCATTTTCCTTTGCATGAATAGGAAGTTGGGTCATATTTTGTATCCCACAGGATAAACAATTCATGGATCTTTCTGGACTTCCAGTGTCATAGCAGACAGTGCAAGATACCCGCTGTGGTCTCTTTTCTGTTTATGACTGTAGCCTAAATAGTTAAGAAGACAAAAGGAGGCATCCCAGGGAGTGATTCCTGCTCCAAAACTCCTTTGTATTATTCTAATAACCGCGTCATGGGAACATCACAAACAGTTTTTAGGGCAGGGACTCAGGACAACCTCTGCCTCCCACGTGAATATCCTGAATTTGGCATTGTGTTTTGCACAGAGGAATTCAGTTAAAAGAAGAGGTGACGTAGAGCACTTAGGCAGAAGCCGTCTGGAGGCTACTTGTTTTCCTAGGAAAATAATGCTGGTGTGCATTTCTCTCCTCCTGAGCAGCTGAACTTGCTGTCTGTGTCCTGGATGAACTCCCCAGCCCCTGTGCTGCGCAGAGGACAGATACAGCCATCACACCCTCCTCTCACTGTGCTCAGAACCTGATCTCTGCTTTATAAATGAAGGGACTTATGATGTTTTTTGTCTTTTTTTGCTTTCTTTTCTCGGGAGATGTCAGGCCATGAATCACAGTTGGAAGGGAGGCATTTCCTGGTTAGCAGTGTTGAGCCCCAGAAAGAGGCACATCCGAAGGACTGAAAGCTTCCCTTTGCATTAGCTTTGTGTTTGTTAACTATTGGTGCATTCAGTTTTGGCACCTAATTAACTCCTTGTGCTCCCTGGGAGCTGAGGCTTAACACCAGGCTCTGAATTTTGCTCCAAGGAACAAAGCTCAGGTACTCTCCTGTCTCCCTCTAAACTCCTGGAAGGCTGAACATCATGCTGACAATGCTGAAAAACAGGAGGGACGGTGCTTTCCGTGTGGGGCAGTACTGTACCTGAGAGCCAGGACTCCTGCGTGCAAAACTAAGCTGTTAAAAGACTGCTTGAACACAGCACAGAACTCAGTGAAGAATTTCATCCTTGTCCATCTTGATTACAGCCAGATCTCCTCACCCCTTGGGCAAATATAATAATTCTTTCTATTATTTTTATGGCTTTGGTCTTTTTTTTTTAGTTATAGCAGTGGGTTTATTCCCAGTGTATGGTCAAAATGTCAGTCATCAAAATGTGACCACAGTTGTGTAATTTAGACCGTAGAAATAAATATATATATATATATATATAAAAAAAGCCAACAACCCCAAAAAGCAATATTGGATATAAGCAGAGTGCTGTTAGGCCTGCTGGGAACTGTCTGCCACATACCTGAAAAATGGCCATGAGATGTTAAATGACAGCCGGTGATAAAGACACTTGGCTTTGGTACATCAGGCCCCACTCCAGGTTAGAAAACAGCCCTCGGCTGTTGCATGGGGATTTTAATTTGGATGCCCCGAGTGGAGGGAGTAAATGTGCAGGGTGGCTCTCAACGGGAGCCTGGTTTGGATGTGGCAAGCGTGCGGGAGGGGAAAACACCGTGTCCTGAGCAGGTCCCAGCTAAGGTCACCTAAGGCGGAGCAGGGATGCGCTGCTCACCCCGTCACCCCTCTGTGGGGAGGGGCGCGCACCGGACCTGGGGTCTAAGCCCCCGTTGCCGGATCTGGCTCTGTGCAGCGGGGGGGGGGGGGGGGAGCATAAGGCGCGACACGCCGGTGATGTCCGCAGTGGGACCGTGCTCGCCCCGGGGGGGGGGGGATCCGTGCGCGTGCGCGCCCCGCGGTCCCCGTTCCCACCTGCGCGGCGCGGAGCCCGGTGCGCGGCGGGGCGGGGCGGGGATCGCGCGTAACAGCCTGCAGCCGCGCCCCGCGCCCGGGAGGCGGCGGCGCCGGCGAAGGTGCCTCCCCGCCCGCAGCGGCAGCAGCACCAGCACCAGCACCAGCAGCAGCACCAGCAGCACTGGCAGCGCCAGCAGCAGCGGCATCAGGAGCACCGGCGTCACCAGCACCGGTAGTCTCAGGCTCCGTCACCGCCGGCGCGCAGCGGCTCCGCGGCTCGGTGCCGGCAGGTGATTAAGCGGATGAGCGATCTGCGGGGGGGCAGGCGGCAGGGATTAGCCGCGGCCGCCCGCTGCTGCGGAAAGGCTGCTGCAAGCCCGGCGGAGGGACGCCGAGAGGTGTGCGGGGAAGGGGCACACAGCGGCCGGAGCCGCAAGTTGTGTCGGCGGCCGGAGCGGGGCAGGGGCGCAGCGGCCCCGGGAGGACCGAGCTGCGGGTGCCGGGGGCACCGGCGGGGCGGCGGGTGTCGGGGGTGACCCGGCGGGATCCGCCGTGGCTCCGGTGGCGCTGGGCGGTCGCCAGGTTCGGGGCTGGTTGGGGACGAGGGGTGCGGGGCGCCCGTGGACACGGGCTGGGGGCTCCGGACTTGGGGCTGGCGGGAACTTTAGTTGCGGTCTGGCATAAGGGTCCGCTTTCCCGTGGGGATGGGACTCGGTCCAAACCCACTAAACAGTTCGTTTGGCGAAAATCTTTACAACTCAAGTCGCAAAATGCTTCCCTGTAGGACACATGAATACCAGATCTTTAAAATGAAAGCACTGCTGAAAGCCTTGCAGAGGAGCTTTGCTTGGCAAGCTTGAGCAATGAAGGCTTTCAATAAAGAAAATATATTGTCTTCCAACTGGATGCAAAAAATAGAGCTGAATTGTCGCTTCCTAAATGTATCCTGATTCCTGGCTTTCAGTTAGGAGAGCTTTTAGTGGCGTTCAAGTGCCACGGCCATCATGTTCTCTAAATATCTCCTAATCCTGAGGCAAGCCGAAGTCTGTTGGTGTTCAGTGGGTTTTGTACATGTAGGGCATAGGCGTACTTCATTCTTACTTCATATTTACTTTATGTTGATACAAATTCAATGCTTCTGCTCAGCCCTGTGTTTTGGCAGAGTGCTCTCTTGCAGCGGAACTGGGGGGACCTTCTAAATGAAGCTAACAAGTAAAATATGCTTTGAAATGGAGTGCAGATGGGAAGCCTCTTAAGTATTGTGTTGCACAACAGTGTGCTCTCTGTGTGTGACATTCAGCTTGCAAAACTCTAGGTTTTATGAATTCATCCACAATCTGAGCTGGTCCCTGTGCTATTCAGAAATACTGTGCATTGATGTGTGGAACAGCAGCGGTTCTGATGAGAGAGGTTAATTCATCTCTCTCCTGACAGCGCTTTTGATGCCTGACACCTCCGGTCAGCGTGTTTGTTAGAGATGTGTGTGTGCTCTAAGTTTTTAATTCCAAAACAATTCTCAAATTGTTGAATAAGAAGAGTAACTGGTGTTTGCTGGCTCAGGTAGGTGGTGTCTTAACTTTCCTTGAGCTGTTTTGTGAGTTATGCAGCTGTCTCTTGCATCTTAATGTGTTACTGTGGATTGCCATTTCCTACTGACTGATAGTAATAGATAGATAGTAGCATCCTCGACATCAGAAACTGAGGTTCTTTACCCCCACATCTCACCCTTTCTTCACGGTAGGGAGTGTCTCTGGCTCCATCTCCTGGCTCAAAAAGAAGATCCCCCTTCATGAAGGGGGTATGGAGAGATGGGAAGCCTCGTGGTTTTGGTGAAAAGTGATGAAGGTTTCTTCTTGGACTTGAACAGTGAGACCTGTCACAGCAGGGTTACCTCCGTTTTCTGACTGGGGTGGGAATTGTCTTCTCACTTTTTTAATGGAAAGAGAGTGTGTCTCTTATGTTACTTTTTATTAGGATTTGGAAAGATTTTCGATGTAGTGACTAAATTTTATCATGGTATTTAGAAATTCATAATTTAGTATTTTTATTACTTGCATGGATATGCTGGAAAGGTTAGTCATCTCGCCTGATACATCTTGTGTGTGGTCTTTTGGTGGAAATGTATTAATGATGTATCCTATATGTCACGATTTTTCTTCATGGTCAGGAAAACGTGTTGCCTGCAAATTCTTAATCCATTTGAAATAGAAAACCTGTAGCAGAATGGAAGGATCTTGCTGTGATTTAGAGCCTATACATATACTATGAGTGTGAGCAGAGGTAATCCTGTTCTGCAAACACAGATCCACAGAGAAGAGGATCCTTCCTTCATGGAGGACCTTCTGTATGCCTTGTCTTTAGTGCAGAGCAACTTTCTTCAAGTGCAGCTGGCAGGAGGAAAGAACTTAAGCAGGCTGTGGAATCAGGATACCTGTCCTACCCCTGACAGCCAGGCTTCTGTACTTACTCACCATACCCCAGAGTGAAAGGAGAAGGTGGCAGACTGTTCTGACACTGATCATCGGTCCTTGAGATGCTGTTGGTGGGGAACAGAGCAATAAGGTATAACTGAAGCTGGCAGGTATGTGAAATTGCAAAGATCTCTTTTGTTTCTCTGTAAATGTCCTGTTTATTCCAGCAAATGCCAAACAGGCCTACGTATGTCTGTGCCATTTAATGCTTCATTGTTATTGTTTAAAGTATGACGAATCGTGTGGGTTTAGGGTAAGAACTGACAAAGACAGCATGGTGTAGTTGGGTGCTACCTATTTTTTTTAATTTGTGTGTCATTCTCTGCCTTCCCTATGGACACTAGGGGTTTTTGTGCCCTAGTGCAGAGTGTTCCCTGGTTGCATGCAGAGACATTTCTCTTGACACAGGCAGCCTGGCAGCAGGGGATCCCAGGGAAGCAGACAGCTTCTGGTGGGTTGTGGTGCCCCAAGGTTTCTCTCTGGTCAGTCAGAACCCTTCTCTTGAGGCTGAACATTGGTGAGTCTCTGAAAGCATGTTATGTCCAGAGTCCACTGCAGCAGGGAAGAAAGATGCTTCTCGGCAGATTTACTGTATACCATCTGAGGTCTGCACTTGGCTTTTGACCATGCTTCATGCCTGCTGCAGCCACAGAGCCACCGCCACCACTAACCTTCCAAGGCTGAGCTGAATTATTTTCTGACTCGCATATCGCCAAGAGACGCATCAGCTACAAGAGATTCCAGCTGCAGAATGTGTGTGCGCAGCGTGTCTTGTTCAGATGTTATTTCCTTAATAAAATTGCTCATTTGGTGTGAAGAGCTGTTGGCTGGTTAGGGTGTTGGTTTTTTTCCACCCCCCCTCTTTCCTTCTAGCCCTGGGATATAACAGTCAAGTTTTGTTCTCTGGCTTGTTTTGTAAGTTGATTTAAGGTGCAGTCCACAGTCCTGGTAGGGCTGTGACTGCAGAGAACATGAGGTGGTAGCTTGTTTGACATGTGTGGGTAGAAATGGATGCTTTGGTGAGTACTGTGTGTTTGTGAAGGACAGTAAAAATGCAGCAGCCCTTAAAGAAGGTTTCACAGGGTTTAACTGGGGAGCTGCCTACAGCCAGCTTTGTGAGAATGCTGGCGGCAAGGACTGTAGTGAAGTCTGAGTTGATGTGAATGTGCCCTGACTTCACATGTAAACTCATGCACACACACACGTTCATTCACTATAGGCTGAGGCATTTTTCTTCAGAGTCTTGTTGCTTTTCTTCTTTCCTGTTCTTCCACCAGACTGTGCCTGTGGTAGCTGTCACTCTGGTGGAGAGGTTTGGTTTGCAGTAAAGTCTGTGAGGGTGTGAACAGCCTGTGGGCAGGACTTGGTACCTCTGCTCTACCTCTTACGCTTATTGTAGAAATCCTACAATGGAAGACTTCTGGAGTAAATGCACTCTGTTTTGCTATGCTAGAAATTTGTAACAGCCCGAGACCGCTAACGAGGAATTATAATATATTCAAGTAAAATACATGGGAATACAGTGGAATTCCATTGTTGTGTGCCAAAATGTAGTAAATGAGCAAGAGCTTAACCCAGGATTCAGGTGAAATGTTGCCATTTCTGCATAGTGCCCCATGAATGTTGACGGTGATCAGTGGTTGAAGCCACTTGTCTCTTGAGCGAAAACCTGGCACAGGTCCTGGTCTATTTCCTAGAGCTGTAGAACTGGGGTACTTAGAAATGCTTTGTCTTCAGGACCTAGCTTCAGTCCATCTGGAGTCCCAGAGGTCCATCTCCAGGCTTCCTGGTTGTGGGAAGATGGCTGTAGCACTGTTAGTAGTCTTAGTGCAAGGCCAGCTCAGGTCAAGTAGATCCCTAGAGCATTAGGAGAAGTTGGCTCTGCTGCTCCTAGATCTGCATGGGCAGTAGCATTGCTGTGTTTGCTTAGCCCTGTGCTGGAATGAGGTATGGTGGTTTTGGGACATGTCATACCCATGTCATGTTTTAATAGTTTATATGTAACTCCCCTCCTGTGAATGGGTGGTGGCCTATATCTAATTTTATGTAAATCTAATGTAAATATGAAACATAAGTTGAACATTGCAAAAGGAAGGCACTTGGTGCAGCTGCCAGCTTTGTTTCCTTGAGATTTAGGTTCACATTGGCATAGTTCATTTGGTTTGTCCCATTTGCATCTCAAGCAATTCTTATAGCATGGAGAACCTCTTGGCTCCAGATGAATTCTGCTGGAGCTGAAGATTTGCAGGAACTTGCAGAATTTGACCTTTTGTCTCAAGAAACTGTGGTGCAGCTTCCAAATACTATTGTACAAAATAGACAGGGAATATATCTGTAAATCCCTGCAGCTGCTGATGAGCTGGGAGAGCAGCAGGGCAGCGTTGATATTGCTGACACAGGAGTTGTAGAGAGGAGCAGGAATCTTACCCCAGGAACAGGAAGGAAACGCATTTTCCAAGTTCTTGTCTGTAATCCAGGATGGTCAAGAGTGCCTTAGTGAGGTCAAGCTTCTGTGCTGGTTGTTCACAGATGATGATGAGGGAGTAGCGATACCAGGCAAAAGATCTCTGTCCTGTGTCTTTGAACACTGCCCTTCATTTCTTGGGGACAGGATGTTTTGCGATGTGGGCTGATCCAGTTTCAGCTCTAGTGCTCTTCTAGGTCAAAGCTGAAAGAGCAGAGGGGAGGAAAGTATAGCAGCCGAAGCAAAAAACTGTGGAGATCCTTAAACACATATGTAGGAAACAGCTTTTAAAAAAGCTGTTTAAAATATGAATGAGCATGAGATGTAAATAACTTGCTAAGAGGCCAGCTTCCAGAGACAGGATAACCATAGGGGACTGGTTGGCTTGTACCAGATACTCCTCTGTCTGTCTGAAGTTTCTGGCTCTTTCCCAGATTCTTGAATGTGAAAATATTTATTGAAAGTGACTTCTTGATGCTGTGGGTCTTGACCAGTGACCTAGGAATAAGTGTGTTTTGTTGAGCTGATACTGATGCCTTTTTGGGTTTGAGTACAGAATGGATTTATTTGTTGACTAAGTGGCATCTCCGGTGTAAATGCTCTGTTGCTTGGTTGATGATGAGCCAACTGATATGAAATTGGGGAAGGTTGCTTTCTTTAGCAAAGGGAAGTTATTTCTTGTCGAAGAAGGATGCAAAGGATGGAGGAATGCTTTCTGCATAAAGCAGAATCACATTGTTCTTGAAATAAGGGTGAAAAGAGTGAAATGTTTTTGGTAGGAGCCACCAGGCACCACCTGCATAAGAAGACCCAACAGTGATGCAAGAGATCCTGAAGATTTAAAACTGTGCTGCCCTGTTGCATTTCCTTCACTGGCATCTGAACAGGGGAGCAGGGAGGAAAAGGTGAGAAAGGGCTGCATATGGGATGCTTCTCTAGGAAGGTGAAAGGCAGGAAAGGAAAAAACTCTAAGTGCCTGTTGGAAGGGGGAGCGAACCGAGGTAGGTAGGTTGCATCTTGTAGAGAAAGCACGTAAGTGTCCATGCAGCAGCATCTTCTGGCTGCTGGAGGTGTTGGGCTCTTTCAGTGGCGCTCAGAAGCTACATGGGTTCAAAAGACCTCTCTTCAGGGCGGTCTGGCCAGCTGGACTTCAATGAAATTATTTGTCGTTTACACCGATCTACAGGAATGTGGCTATTCTCTCCTAGCTGTAGGCTCTGCTTTAAGCTTTGGATAAAGGCAGTGTCTCCTGGCTTCTCATGCCCGGCTGCTTCAATCCTTTTAAAGTGTTGCTTTCACTTAAACACCATGAAGTGCCTTCCAGTGCAGCTTCTAAAGCAGAAGTTTAGGCCAGCCAAGATGGTTTCTGAAGTTACCCTCCAGGGAAGAAACTTCTAAAGAAGCCGCCTCTCAGCCACGGTATTTGGGCAGCGTTCCGGAAACAGCTGTTGGGGATGCAAAAGGCTGAACTGGAATCTGGTTCATGGCTGAAAAGCTAGTTTGCCATTAAAACTAAAATTTAAGAGAGTCCAGCTGCCTGCAAAGAGCAGCAGCTGGCTTGAGCAGCCGGTGTGCTCCTTGAGGAACAGGGGAAAATACGTTTTATATTGTCTTCCATCAGCTCAGCTGCCCTTTATAAACAAACACTAAATCTGCCAAAGGCAGTTGTTTGTGTTGCAGGTGAATTGCAAGAGAGCATTTGGGGGACGTGAGGACATATGCTAGTAGTTTTAAGGACACCTCGTAGTACTGCTTATAATTTAATTCAGATCTCAAAAGGAGTAATATAAGTGCCGTTTCCACTATGTGATCCCTTTGCTTAGCAAAGCCTCCTACCAGTGCTTAGTTATGAGTAGGAAATAATTGTCTTTGGTGTTGCAATGATGACTTTATATAATGAAAGGGATATTGGTTGTACTAGTCCCAGAGTTGCAGCAAAGTGAAAGCAACAGGCTGTGGTCAAGGAATAGGGGGAGACTGGTCATTTCTTCTTCTATAAACTTTTGAATAATGATTCCTTTTGTTTTCATGGTTAGAGAGTTTAAGTCTTACCTGATGATCTAAAAATACTGTACAATATATGGTAAGTTTTGAAGCTTGAGTGGAGTACAGCAACTGCAAAAATAATTTATACATGAAACCCCTCTGTGAGCAAAATAATTGGGGAGAGGGAGGAGGAGGAACCTGGAATGAGCTATTTGTGCTGTTTCTGGCTTTTCTAAATCTAAGTTGGCAGCAGGGTGGTGGATTTTCAGAAAAAAAGCTCACAGGGATAGTTGTCCTTCCTTGCACATACACTGTGTTAATAAGCAGTTGTGCATGGAAGTAATTTGCAGTCTAGTTTCTATTTATCCTGCAACAAAGGCATTTTAAGCTTTTGCTGTTGAGGTGGTATGGAAGCCATAAACATCCATAGGTCTCTACAGCAACATTTGGGTCAGGTATTTAGCAACATTTGGGACAGTTATTTAGCAACATTTGGGATGGGTATTTATGTATTTTATATATATACATATTATATATTTTGTCTCTAAATTGGAGAGACATCAATTTGATGGATGGACCACTCGGTGGATAAAGAACTGGATGGATGGCCGTTGTGGTCAATGGCTCAGTGTCCAGCTGGAGACCAGTAACGAGTGGTGTCCCTCAGGGATTGGTGTTGGGACCGGTCTTGTTCAACATCTTTGTCGGTAACACGGATGGTGGGATTGAGTGCACCCTCAGCAAGTTTGCCGATGACACCAAGCTGTGTGGTTCAGTTGATACGCTGGAGGGAAGGAATGCCATCCAGAGGGACCTTAACATGCTTGTGAGGTGGGCTGATGCCAACCTCATGAAGTTTAACCATGCCAAGTGCAAGGTCCTACACCTGGGTCGGAGCAATCCCAGGCACAGCTACAGGTTGGGCAGAGAAGAGATTCAGAGCAGCCCTGCGGAGAAGGACTTGGGGGTGTTGGTCAATGAGAAAATGAACATGAGCTGGCTTCAGTGTGCGCTCACAGCCCAGAAAGCCAACCGTATCCTGGGCTGCATCAAAAGGAGCGTGACCAGCAGGTCGAAGGAGGTGATCCTGGCCCTCTGCTCTGCTCTTGTGAGACCTCACTTGGAGTATTGTGTGCAGTTCTGGTGTCCTCAACATAAAAAGGACATGGAACTGTTGGAACAAGTCCAGAGGAGGCCACGAGGATGATCAGGGGACTGGAGCACCTCCCGTATGAAGACAGGCTGAGAAAGTTGGGGCTGTTCAGCCTGGAGAAGAGAAGGCTGCGTGGAGACCTCATAGCAGCCTTCCAGTATCTGAAGGGGGCCTATAGGGATGCTGGGGAGGGACTCTTCATTGGGGACTGTAG